TTTTTATCCCGATACTTAAGTAAATATGAATTTTTATTATTTTAGTTCTATTTTTAGTAACAAAAGATAAAAATTTAATAATATCATTATTGTAAATAAATAATTTGCGCTTTTGTATGAGAAACATAATAAATATGAAGTCTTTCTTTCTACTAAAAATATCTTTAAAATAAAAATGTATTTTTCCTACTAAAATTATATATAAAAAATATGGAATAAATTATATTTATCTTTTTTATCTCGATGTTATAAAGCCATTATTTCTCTGGCTAAGTTCTTTTTAGATGAATTAAATAACATGTGTCAGCTTAAGATCGATATTATTAGAACTAATAAAAATTTTTAATATAACATATTTCTTTTTAAAAATAAATTTATAGCTTTCTAATCATAAATTTCTTTCTAATTGCAGGTTGCTGGCAAGCGCGAAGCAAGCCAGGAAGCTGAAGCTCAACAATGGATGGAGACTGTAATCGGTCGAAGATTTCCACCAGGTGAGTCTTTGTATATAATAATTTTTTATTAATATAATATTTTATTTTAATTCACACAGAAATGTTCGTTCAATTTGTACAACGTACTAGTATTTATAAGCCATAGTTAATAAATTTTTGAAGAAGCAAACAAATACATAAATTATTATTATTAGCATTATTATTCTCCAATTATTATTTTTCATATTTCACGAATTAACAACATGACTCTTAAGATTTATTTATTATGAATTTATTATTTATTATAAATTCGATTTAATATAGTCTTATAATTACATTTGTGTAAATAAGTAATAAGTTATTGAATAATAATCAAAAAGTTGTTTATTACTTTTTTCGGAATATTATAAAAAACAAACGGCGTTTTTATAGAATAATTTTTTTAATATACTTCAACGCGCTTTTTTTTTTACTAAAAGCGAATATAGTTGACAGTTTTATATAAAGGTCCTGCATTTATATATAATAACTCTATAAACGCATATGAACTCCTGTTCCGTGTAGGTGACGCGAATCCGAAAGCCTTTCGATGTTTTCATCCCCGTCGGGACGATTTAACTAAAAGGGTAGAAGCGTATACCGTTATCTAACTAGAATCACATAATTGCCGGATACAAATGTCAGGTCGCGTGACGTCGCAAAGGTTAAGCTTCGTCGAGGTCAGTTCCCCCGTATAGTACACCCGTCATATGATCGAAAATGCAACCGGCGACGAAGGTACTGCCCGCTACAGCACGATATTGATTTCGAATGTTTGGCCCAACAACCTTGGGTACTAGCTGATGCAAAACGTGCCATAATATAATAGTATATAAACGTTCAAACTCGCGTGTTACGTAACCACCATTGTCGTAAGTCCTTAAAATCGTCAAAATCGTGTTTGAAAAAGTATAGAGATAAATACAAGCGTGTAAATGTAATTTGCATGTAAAATTCAATAATGTCTCGTCGATATTCGTGCTAAAAAAAATGTCTGTATTTTTAATTACATTGTGACTTTTCATTTGTGTTTATGAATTTCCTTTTTAATTCGTATAAGGCTTGTTGACAAGTATACGTGCAACGATCGAATTGTTACTCATTGATAAAAATTCAGCGTGATTACGGGCCTACATAAACATATATGTACATAGAAATTGTGTAAACAATTTTTGTGAGATTACTGAACTCTGGCCGAACTGCTAGGGGTAATTTCACCCTTCTGTTCCGTTATATTCGCCTGGCAAAACGCGCGCTTTGTTACGTCATTGCGAACCACCCTTATCGACCATGCCTCGGCAGACAACCCTCGATTCGACATACATCCCTGTTGCGACAAACATGCCAGGCGTCGACGCAATCGGGATGATTATTTCACGTTTGCGCGGTGCCCGCAAATAAATTTTACTCTTTTCACTAGTTTCTCACTTACGAGTAGTCTGTATTAAGATGGATGCAATTTGAATCAAAGGTTGTACATTGCAAAATCATATGAAAAATCAATATCTTAATCAACATATCGTTCTTCACAACACTATATTATATTCGAAAGTAACAGTTATAATTAATAGTCCCTAAGTGACGTGTTAGTCTCGAAACTAATAGTAACTAAAATAATAGTAAAATTATGTAATATAAGTGAATTAAATATATAAGTGAATATAATTAAAATAAAACGTCTTATGAGAGAGGAAAAGAAAAAACGGGGAAGAAAGAGAGAAAAGAGAGAATTTTTCTTTGTGTTTATTAGAAAAAATTGATAATTTGCTATAACGTTTTAATTCATTTCATCCACATCTTCAATTTACTATAGAAATAGGGGGAGAAAAATTAGATTTTTTGGATACTACTGTATCTATTAGTAAGAATCGCGATTCGTTTTTGATTGATACTGCATACCTACTTTCTCGGGGAGATTTTTAAATTTCCACTCAAATCATCCAATTACACAAAAGAAAGGTACAATTTTTTCGCTGGTTGAGAGAGCTTTTTTACTTTCTGACTTTATGTCTCACACAAAAAATTTGACATTTATTATTAACGTTTTATTAGATAACGACCATTAACTTTTATTTTTGGCACAATTATTCAACGTATAAAAAATTTACTTAAAAATAAACACATAGTACGTAAAGATTTGGTTGGCAGTGTCTGCGAATGAATCTACATCTTGGCTTACGGTACCATTTATTCCTTTTCACACAGAGAAATTTAAACGGTTCAATAAAAACAACATCACGGTATCTTTTCATAGTCCTAATAAAATGAGTAAATATATTAAAGTACAAAAGGATATTTGTCCCTATACATCTAAGAGCAATGTATAATAGTTTATAAGATTTTATGTAATAATTGTGTTGCGTCGTTCGTTGGACAGACGGGCAGACAATTGAAGACCAGAATTACAGAATATCGTAATCATATTAGACATAACACTTCTGTCCGTTCTGTCATAACGGAGCACAGGCTGCAGTATGATCATGATTTCCAATGGGACAATGTTAAAATTTTGGATGAAGAGCCTTGCTATAGGAAACGCTTAATTTCTGAGATGCTCAATATTAAAAAGCAGAAAAATAGTTTAAATTTATAAACTAACACTGAAGGCCTTCATAAGGTATATATAAATAAAGTTAAAACCTATTATAAATAAAGTTTGACTTTTCGATACTGACAGTCTGTCTCTTCTCTCAGTCCGTGTTGATCCATATCAGCGAGTGTACATTATAATCGATACATAATGTCTTACACATCTGCGTTCCACTAAACTTTGTATATTCTAATGGGTTTTCATACTTATATGGATACACTGGTTTGAATAATTTACACATAATTTTTAATGAACTTTAATTACTTGTTATAATTCCGGTATATTAATTTGATTGTGTTTATTTTTTCGTAAGAAGTCTTTTTATCTTTTTTATCAACTAGAACTTTTTCCAAGAGATATGAAACACATTTGACTGTTCAATCGTGTGTGAATAATGTCGAGTTCATCAAGACTCACCCGAGCTATGATTATAGTGAATATGCAAGCATTTTCGATAATTAATTTTGTATAGCAATTTTTATGATAAGTTAATATCTGAAGAGGGTTCAATCCGGTAGCCGAAACTTGTAATTATTTGAATTTAAACTGAGTTTTTTATTATTTTTTTCAATTTTACTTTTCTTTATTTGTAATTTATTCTTTTTAATTGTGTGGCAATTTAAAAAAATGTGTTTGATTCTTACTTTACCCTTTATTGTTGTTTATTTTATTAGAAAAATTTTTTGTTTGTTAAATTGATTATTGTTTGATAATTGTTGTATATAAATAAAACATTATTTATTCATATAATTATATTTATTATGTACATTATATATACTATACGCATACTGCATTTCGTAAAAAGATTCATAATTTGTTACTACTAATTGTTATAATGTTTGTTTCTTTTAAAAACGTATGTAAGTATATAATCTACTCTCTGTAAAAAGTGACTGCAGTTGAAAATATATTAAAAATAAATATATGCAATATTATATATACATAATATGTAATATTAATAAGTAAATATTATATATAAAACAATTCAATTAGGTTAATATTTATATTTAACAATACAATTTTTAATATAAAAATAAGACAAAAACAGGACTCCCAATATAAAAATAGTAAATATGTGTGACCTCAAGCCAAATAGAAGTCCAAGAATAAAATAACGTGTTATAATAATAAAAATAGAAAAGCAAATGTTAGAATATAATTTAAACTGCTAAATATAATGTAAAAAAATATAATGTAATCGCAATCGCGATTATATGTTTCGGCTGCAAGTTCGAGCCCTCCTCAGATGTGCAGAACATAATAGAAACATACTATAAAAAATATACAATGCGTAAAACGAAGCGCAACCGCAAAAAGTCATATATAATATCATACCGGTGTGAATTCCGTGATGAGTGAAATACTTGAATCAGAGGAAACAAAAATTGCTCGTCAATTGGTTGGAAGATCGATTGAAAAAATCTTTTTCATTGTGCTGTTGGAAAGAGAAAGGAAAAAGAAAAATTCAATAAAGGATAAAAATTCTCCCCTCCCCCCCCCCATTTTATCATGAACATAATTAAGAAATTATATGCGAAGCAAGCAATATCAATTCCCTCTGTTCAAAGACTCATCAAATCCAAGTGTCGATGATAAATATCCATGTAAATGTCGTCAGCAACAGTCAAAGAATATCCATAAGTCACAATCTAAATTCAAAATTCTTTATACACGATATCAAAAAGAAAGAAAACGGTTACACTGATACGGAGACAAAATCATACGTCTAAGTGCTACGACGGACCAAACAATATTGAGAGCGAACTTGGTGACGCAGAGTCAAACATTGTTTACGATCGGAATGTAAGAAGCGTGTCCTCTGTCTGTTTAAAGAATTAAAACCGTTCTTTGAAAATTTTAAATGTAAATAACAACGTTCTCATTTTATCTTAATTACTTTTCAAAAACATCTTATTATTTTTTGAAAACTTCTTATTAAAATAATTTTTAATCTAGATTCTAGATCATTGTCAAACTTTTTGTATTACTTGCGATACAATATAAAAAAATCTGTAATTTTTTTCATAATTTTTCATTTTGTTAAATAGATGTAATATATTCTTAAATTCAAGAAGGGTTATTGAATAATGAATTTAATAATATCACGTTTCCGACATATTCAAATAAGCGCGAATCGAAGGAGGAAAGGTCTTTGTGACAAGCTCAATAAATGTTTAGCGGAAGTTCTCATTGCTCATAAGCTATCGCAAGAACTCGTCATCGACCGGCTATCGCAAACGCGGATTCCCGCTTCCATCACGTTTGCCAAAATCTTTGGGCGTACAGGAATTTAAGATGTATCCGATAATGCTGATTATGTCGAGTGTTTAGATTTAACGAGCCTCCACCTATGACTGTCATCCTGGTTGTGCTGAGGACGCGGTGGAGGTGGCCAAACGACGAAACCACCCCCACTCGGGTACATGATTAA